AAAAAAAACAAGTCCATACCTCCAGCATGCCACTATCTGTTCGCATGTGTAACATTTTCTCGAAAGCCATATTATTAAATATTTGGGGCAAAGTTTGCTCAGAAGGGCCTTTAGGTCGGATAATTTCCAGTCACCCACAGCAAAATTTTCCTCATTCTTCTTTCCTGCATTTGCAAAAAATTTAACAGCAGGGAAATAGAAATATAATGTGTAGCAATACCATTTTTAGCTATTCTGCCTTGACGTTTTACCTCATACCATTATCATCATGCGGTTGAAAATTTCCCGCCGAGAAATATGCATGTTTTTTCATAGGTCTTTATGAGGCCTAAGCACACTTGAGTGCTGATTTCACGCTGTAGGATGGCACATGCTCTCCTTGTATGCGCAAAGCTAATGATTTCCAATTCGAATGTCAAGTATGGCGATACCACACATACGAGCATGTCGGATTTCGCTGTTGGCATAACGACAACTTGAGAATAAGTTTGAAAATGATAGCTGAAGCTTATAGCTAAACGGAGCTTTAGAATGTACCTTCATCTCATGTAAGGGCACGATGAAAATATTTGTAAGGAAAATGTAACGCCGTGACGCCCCTTTCCTTTCTACACGCAGGAAAAGACTGAAAATTTTGCTAAAATAACTGCGTATTTTCAATTGTAAAGCACAATTCATGCACACCGTTAATGACCTGATTGCTTCGAGATTAGAATAAAATGAATGGCCGCGCCGAAAATTCTGATAAGCATTGCTACTGGGTTCGTAGCAGGGACGCATAAAACAGTATGCTCTCTACGGATTCTTGTACGTATGAATGTTAATGCAGTAAGCAAAAGCTTTGATAAATTCAAATTTTAAGAAAATTGGAGAAGGGTGGAAAAATCTGTAGAAAAATTGACGCAGTCTCGTCTCTCAGCTGCGTAGTTGTCTGGTTTTGTAATAGTTGATCAGCTTGCTGACGAATCAGACATTCGCTTTATCTCCTAAAGGTAAAACTAACAGAAATGGAAAGAGCTAATAAAATATCTTTTTAAGTTAACGACTAAACTTTTTACAGGTACCACATAATTCTGATGCACTGGAGCAGCTGGAGATAAACGACCAAAATCTTCAGCAGGAGGGTGCTGTCGCATATGCCGTTGATTTGAATCCTGAACACGAGCCTACTCGTCAGCTTTACACTGGACTTGCTGTCCGTGCTGCGGTCCATCTCCAAGACAATTCGACCTTACTGGTCTCCGGGATATGCGAACAATACGCTAATCCACCTTTTTATGAATTATTTTATGAATTCTCCGGTACTCGGTCGACCGATCCTGGATTTCAGCTTCCACAAGAGTTTTTTGGAGGGATACGAATTTTTAATAGCTATGACGTGTACCTTACTGAATTTTTATCAGCTTGTTTTCTTGATCGTTCAGCTGATCAGTTTTTATCAGTTAATGATGTCAATGTGATTTGTGATGTAAACAGTTCGACGTACTTCGTTTCAGTTATTATTTTGGGGGCCAGGGATGATGAAAATAATAGTGATCATGGAAGTGATGGAAATAGCGCTAGTGATGACGAAACTGATAGTGGCAACAATGGAACTGACGGTATTGATGAAGATGATAATACTGATCATGAAAATAATGGGGCTGACGATCATATTAGCGATTCGGAGATATAGCTGCAGGGAGACGAGAATGATAGAACATTTTCCCCCGTTTCTGTAATCATATCGTGTCTGAAAATTTCAACTTCATCCGTAGCAATTTTGAATAAAGCTCTTTATAGTTTAAAATCGAAAACTACAATCCATATTCAATCCGTATGAAAGGCGAAGGCAGTCGTGAAATCCATCAGTGATTGCAAATGCAACAACCGTTCTCTGAAAGGACTGTCGACGGTGCGGTATAGCTTGATAGCAAGCTAATGTGCGTTTCTCTAGCATGGGCCAGTGGGATTTGTTTTACTGCGAGATATGGTGCAACAATCAAGATTGATGTGGGACATTCGAGTTCTTCAAATAGATTAGGTACTGAGATAAAGCAGAACTTGGAGCTTTCAGCTTTAGTGAGATACAGTCATTAGATTAGCTTAATAACCTTAGTTTGATCCCAGCAACGTAACGCTGACTACAAAGTCTGCGTTCCAGCGCGATGATGAAGCCACTCCGTAGCAATTTTTTCTGTGGAGTTATAGAAGTCAAAATCGGAAAATTTGTAGAATAAGTGGAAATGTAATTTTTAAACAATGGACCGATGTGAAAGGACATGTGTTAGCGATGTTACTGGGATGCTGCTGCGCAGCGAGCGTCGCTTTACTGTCCTTCGATCCTGAACTGAATATTCCCCAAATTAGTAACCACCGTTTTTTCGATGAATAACCGACATTTCTTCAAAGATTGCTTAGGTGG